AAAAAAAAATCCTCCGTCGTCTGTGCGGATCCATATTGTGCACGTACATACATAGGTGCACGATCTACACGTTTGTGACAGCTTTCCCAATGATGTCTTTGTCAACCAATGAGAACACGGAAAGTGCATGTTGTGTCATGGCGGCTTTACCGTTGCGGTAGATTTTGGCAATCGTTGGAATAGTCCGTGCCCTGACTGGACTAGGTACATATTTACCCGAATTCAACCATTTTTAGATAGATGGTGATATTATCTGTGACCCACCAGAATGCCATGCATATAACGCACATAAAACGAACGGCTTTTCAGTGGGCTGCGGACTGACTGATGACCATCGTTTTGGACAAGGCCGTGTCCAAGGGCTTTTTGGCCTGGGTAACATCACTACAAAAGATCATACGTACCACTCCTACCAGGACTTGCTATACATATATCAGTTGGGCGGGCTTGAAAGGCTTCAATTTCCTTCCAGCATTCGGGGGGAACCACGGCGAAGAGAAAAATGCCGCCATTGTATTCGTACCATAGTTCTCTGTCAGACCACTGTAGGCTCCTGAATGTACGTTCCGCCATTCCTCACAGAAGTATTACTTGAACTGTCCCGTAAAGTCCCCTATTTTGCACGTAATGTAAAGTGGGCTGACCTTCACAGTTACCATCAGATTGCGCTACACATTTACTTTGCGCACAACATACAGAACACTGTTTGCTAGAAATAGTCTGCTTGTGACAAGAATGTTTGAGCTGACTCACGACTTATCAACGGTAATTACTTATGGTCGCGACCATAAAAATAGAGTATGGGGCATACTCTATTTTTATGGTCGCGACCCTAAGTTACCGTTGATAAGTCGCGAGTCAGATCTGTTTCTAGAATGAAGGCGCACCCCTTTTTTCATGGTAGCTGCAATGGAATTTTACAAAATACAAACAATGAAAATTCATATTTGTGTTTTAGTCAACCCGTTTTCCCTTTTTTTGGTTGCACTATTTGCCGCCCTTTTCTGAGTGGTTCCTAATTCATCAGCAAATCTCGTATGAGCTCATTGAAAGAAACCTCATTGTCACGTTGATATGGCACATAAATCGCCTGCCTATTTTTAAAAGATTTGGCTAGCCCTTCTTTTCTCTTCTTTGGTGTGTGACCGGGTGGCTCCACTAATAAAAATCTGGGTGAAGTTTTCTGTCTCGTATGTACTGTATTTTATTCTATGTACAAAGGGTATAGTAACAAGATATAAAAAAAAAAAACGACGGTCGTGTGGTGGCCAGGATGACAATCACCTGGACAAAATACAGAGGATTAATATAGAAAATTAAATAACCAATAAATTATGCTATCCAATAGCCAATTAAATTTACTAGTTAATTTAAGCCAGTAATTTCTTTAAAGAAAAGGGTTTCTGAAGAAGAGCATATAGCCACAACTGTTTACCCATTTCAAGAGACAAATTAATGAGAATGCTATCAATACCAGTCTCCTTGAATTTAAGGAAACTTGACATTATTTTAGAGTGGACATGTTAAGTCATTCCGTAGTCACAAGTTGAAAGGAAAATGCATAAAACTAAGCTATGGCATTAGAAACGGCATAAAAAAGTTATGTACAAGTATTTTATTAAAAGGTCCTACTTACCACCCGGACTGGCCGTTCATGCCTTTATGATTTATGTGCAGCAGAAATGATACCAAGTGCGACACAAAATCTGTGTAGATGCACGAGCAAACAGGTCGACGTGCGGTAGCTTTGGAAGCTGGACCAAAATCAGCCCTTATTTGCTAAGAAAAGCATGGATACTTTTTAATGGTTAAGGAGTGTACTTTTCAGTACATAGCCTGGTGGGTATCCCAACAATTTTCATGCACTGAAGAAGAGTATAAATTTCCCCAAAATTATGACTAGGAATTTTTTTCAGCTACAGCTCAAACCATACAGTCTGCATAATTAACATTGCACGTAAGTAGAAATCAATGTACATAAATACAATGTACGAAGAAAAGTAAAGTTTTGAATCTAATGCAATGAATATTGTGGATCTCCAAAGAAAGGATGCCACTGTCTGCGAAATATTGGCCTTAACTGATCACGATACCTGAAAGTCAACGAAATGGGTTTGAAAATTTAGGCCAATTTCAGAAGATATCCTCCAGATTCTGTCACCCGACAGATCAGAGGAGGCAACTGGATTAGTCTTGCTTCCAAGCAGTTGTTCGCACTGCTTCTGGTTGAAATCGATTAATTTAGACTACAGATGGCGCTATATTTACTTGGATTCGTCTCTGACTTCGACCGACTTCCTTTCTGACTTACGCATATCGNCTCGGTAAAATGGCCGCTGGTTGGCTTCTTTTTCATACAAAGGCGTTGCAAGTCCAGGTTTTTTTTATATACGTCCGTGATATCGATTAGTACATGTAAAGTGCAGATGACTTACCACAGACGTCGTATTAAAAGTAAGAAACTGGGCCAGATAGGCCACTGAAGCCACAGGAGGTCGTCTTACTGTTTGGAATACAAAGCTAACACGAAAGCTTGCAGGCATAATCATTCTTGCCAACGTAAAGTACAGCAGGCACAATGGATCACCTACGAAGTCCCATTAGTTCCACTCTTACAACGTGATATCCGCAGGGGGGTGCAGGTTTTTTTCGATTTTTAATTGCAGAATCAAGATAATGACATGCTGAAGCAGGGTAATAATTTGCCATAGCAATATCATTAGTTTGCCACAGCAAGACACATTCAACTTGCCAGAGCCGGAAAATAACTTGAAAGATAATAACTTGCCAAAGCAAGAAATTATGTAAATTGTCAAAATTTTGGATACATAAATCTTGTTTTTTGGGGGATTACTGTTCAGTTTGTGACCGCAGGCCAGTGAGTAAAGTTTTCCCGCATATGTTCAAAGGGTAAAATTATTTGGGGTCACGTTATGAGCATTGTCATCTGATGACATTTAAGTACACAACACCCTCAATTGTCAAAAAAGCCCAAAAATGCCCTTTTCAGAAGAGATATTAGTTGTCTTGACATTCAAGACTAGTGACAAACTGTACAAAACATATTTCCAAGGGAAAATCACACCAACATGTTGCATAATTTCGATGGTCCAAGTAGGGTTTTGGAGTAATGTGCAAACTCCACAGACAAACATACAGAATCTTGGTGGACTGTGGAAAACTGAAACCAATTATGATAAATGCCTCAGTACAAGAATATAGATGGTACTGGACAAAATATCATTTTAATAACATGGGTCAACAACAGCAAGAAAAAAACATCTAAAATTCCAAGCAGTAAATAAAACAGGTACATGTATGAAAGCACAGCAAAGAAGCTTGCTCATGCTACAGCATTTGGTTTTGTCAACAAACACCATGACAAAAGAGTCTGTGCAACGCTTAGCATAATTTTGGGCCAAGTTTACGGACCCAATGCAAGAACACAACCAAATTGTTGGGATGACTAGAACAGGACAGCCTAGAAGGGATGTTTTTTTTCTTTTTTAATGGACGGGATCCTGGAGATTCAAAACTACAGGATGGAATCTGATCGTCTTTGTTCAAACTCCCAAAGTGGGAATGGATTTTCTGCTGGTTGTTGCAATGCGCAGCACATTCAAGCTTCATATCAATTGACTCTGACTTGCTCTGTTCTTCATTTTTAGGCTACGAATTTTGCATTGTAGCAGTGACGGACTTTACATCTGGGAACACTTAATCAGGTAGTCCAAATGCAATAAGGAAGTCTGCAAAAGGGCACGTGAAAAGGGCCTGCCTGTACATGCAAAGAACAATGACTATGTTCTTGCTCTATGGTACAGGTAACCTTTAAATGGCCTCTTTGAATGCCAATGAAAAAACCATAGCTGAAAATCTCTATAATGATAAAGCCACACTCGGTTTATGTGTTCGGTACTTTCCTACATATGGTGCTCAATGGACCATGGGCCCCACTGCCTTATGGAAAGGTGCATATCGAAACCAAGTGCTACATCATCAGTACGAAGGCTAATACCCAGTCGCACTCACATATCCACATACATGAACATGATGAATGGATATATGCACAGCACTGCACATTGTACAGTGAAATAAAGTTCATGTGTCTGAAGTTACATGTATGCCAGCTCAAACATGTTCAGAGCATGCATGTATGTGTCGGCGTACTGGTCTGACTTCTGTTGCATGCGCTCATGCTCTTGAATGACCTGCAACACACTTTATTTGGAACATGTGCGATCAGAATGCAAATCGGCTCATCACACTTGCACTGTTTATAACAGGAAAAAGCCCCAACTCAACGTACTGCATCACAGGACTCTTCCAGGTTGGCCAACACAGCGCACATGTGTACGATTACACTCACAAACTGCAGCAGTTCGTTGGGGAAGGTTACATTGAGAATGTCGTACATGCGGAGTCGGCCCACAACTCGTTCGACGTGGTCCCACAGCAAAGATGAGCTGTTGATGGACTCTAAGTCTTCCTCTTTTGGTTGCTGGTTTGGAACAGCGTAAGGAGGTCTGACAACGGTCGCCTGCCTCCCGGCTACCAGTGTCTCAATGGCAGGGAAGCCGCTGTGCACTACTACGATATCGCCTGGCTCCAGCAGGTCCAGAAAACTGGACTCCACCGTGATCTGACTGTCGGGCGTTCCGCCGGCAAACGTCTTTGACAAAAATGAGATTAACCCATGTGGAGAGTAACCGACCAATGCTTTGCAAGCGTACATGCCCTTGGAGTCTGAATGCATTAAAGCCTTGCCTTTCACAGTTGGTGGTCTCTCCGTTTTGAACTCCAGACAGTCAATGATGCACCTGGCATTCGGGTGCTCAGAAAAGCAAGGGGGTAGCGATGAGCGGACAGTTTCGGATGGGGGCCAAATAATCCAGTCTTGCGTGGATCTGGCTAGGTTATCCAGCACAAATTGAAAATTCCTGGAGGCAGTGGACCTGGACACCGAGAGAATTTCCCCTAAAATTGAAAATGACAGGCCGAAGCGCAACTTCATGAGAAATATACGCAGACAAGTGTCCAAGCTTAACCCTTTGGATCTGCTTGGCAGCAATGAGAGCAGGAGGAAGAAAACATTTGGCTGGATGCCTGTCATCTCATAGATGCTGTCACTGTGGGCTCCATCTGTCTCGTCCTTTCCACTAATTCCCTCAGACTGGGGCATTTCAGAGGGAGCATCATGTCTAGCATTCTGGTGCTTACTCTCGGGGCTTGCGCAAGGTTCTCTACGGATGGACATCTGAGTTCCAACATCGGTGCCGTCCTTGCAGCAGTACACTGCCAGGACTTCGGTGTGGGTCCGGCCACACTTACAAGGACTCTCCTCAGGGATGTCAGTCTGGATTTGACGGTGCGTGTATGTTTTCCTCGCCGGTGGCCTTAAAAGGCGACAGCCGCTGACGTAGTTGTGGTCCACAGATACCAGGGGGGTGCCTTCTTTTTTGTACTTGGCAATGATCTCAGAGTAGTCAGCCCCTGTCTTCAGTGTGGGATCGTTACATTTCCGCCCCCCTTCAAAGTGGCAGGCACATATTCTGGTTGACGATGCTGGTGTCCACGGAGAGCCATCATGCCTGTGTTTTACGAATGTAAAAAAAAATATTTTGAGCCAAAAAAAAGTTAATACGAAAGAACTCCATATCCATGTACATATACGGGGGTCACTAATTTTTCCCTGCAGTAACCTATTAGCCATTTGAAGCAAGAATATGCCCTAAAAAGTCACAGTGAAAATATCAAGGTATTCACTTAGAAAAAGCTTACAAATTTTCAGATCAGTCTTGTAGGGTTTTTAACATAGGGTGTGAAATGATGTTAGAACATGGTATTCCTTCCATTACATGTTTACACATGTATATTAGACACGTGCATGACAGCATCAGATTTTCATGTGACAGACGATAGACATTAAGGTTGTTATAACTTGCACAAAAATTTCACGAATAACCTTTGAAATGGCACCACTACTGTAGAAACAAGCCCTTGAAATAAGCTTTATTGCTAAAACCGCATGAGTAATTTTGCAAAATGGTAAAAGGGCATTGTAGGAAGGAAAGCTCCTTAAACTTGGCTTAAAGAGGGCAGGCCTACTATGATTTGAAAAAGAGCAACCATGTTCGAAAGGGGCTGTCATGCCTCTTACTTAAGTTAAACCGTGTTATACATGTAAGATTCATAGTAATAATGGACCAATGGTTTATTGACCATCTTGACCGTCACTGTGTCAGCTCAATATCCGCTTCAATCAAAAGGCCTAGTACATGAACGTGCCCAAGGTTCACGGAAAAACATTCACTTCCCTCAAAGAAAATAAACCTACTGCATTACCTACGACGACCTGCCCTTCCAGACAAGGTTATCCACAGCCGTAAGCGTCTGACCTCTGATTTGGGGGGAAAACCGAAAAAGGAATGACTTGGACAAGTTAGTGCATTGTGCGAGCAGCCTGTCATGGCGCATATTCTTCTATGTCGCCATGGTCGCTGCTGGCGCCGGCCCATTGCTGTTGCTTTTCCCTCGTCACTAATTAGTTTCACTTCGTCAATAAAAACTCAGGAACCACGCAGGTATTCGTTCTTGCACAAAACTGACATTTCTGCGTAACAGAATTTGACGTTTTCCGTAGCTGGCAGTACGTGTACATGTAAACGAGAACATCTACATCATGTATAAAATTAATGATAATGTGGCCATTCGATAGCCCGCCCTCTGTTGCTGAACAGAAACAATAACCGTTGTTATGGCTTGGACGGATTGTTCTCGTTTGTCCACGAACAGCTCGATTTGTTCTTCGTAGGTCTGTTGCTCGAACGCCGGGAATGTACAACCGGTTATTAGCGCTAGTAGTGATTTGTAACATGCAACATGGCAGCGTCCTTGTGCATTCTTCAAGGGTTAATGTTGGATAACTGGGCAACTTCTTTTCTCGTGGAAAAATTATTAATGTTAATCTTGCAAAACTTTCCATTGTCTTCGGCTTTTAAAGCCACTCATATATCGGCACTTTTTGCAGCTTTTCAAAAATCAAATTTCACGAGTTTTTCCGTGTGTTTGTGTAAAATCCTGACGAGGAGGTGGTGTGTGATCCTGTTCCAATTCCGAGAACAGTGTTCTGGGGTCGTGTTCCCGCTGTTTGAGCGCGAGAACGCGAAACCTGTGTCAAGAACGGACGCCCGAACTCGACCTTTATGACAAGTGATCTCTATGTAAGTTGGCAAATCATTGCAGTCCGAATGTATTCCTTTTTAATGTCTTCCTTTTCCAAAGGCGATTGCAGGAAGCAACCTACCTGCAAGGCAGGCAAAAAATATAGATGTCATTTCTATTCTTTGGGAAATGGTGGTCACTCTACTATTTTAAGTTTCGTAAATGGCCCTTTTTATAATGGGCAAAACATACCCACCCCTTGGTCATTACTGTCCCTGCACGTTGGGCTCACAACATCTGGACATTCCTGAAACCAGCCCAGTTCCTAAGGAGTGTACTATTGTACTACGTTGCTGCCATGTCGGCGAAAATGGCTAACCATAACATCCCTCACAGGTACCTATTTACCCCTGGGTGGAGAGAGACACACAGGGATATAGTGATTTGCTAAACTTCACCCGCTCACCACCAATAAAAAAAAGAGCTATTCGGATTTGTACCCTTTCAGGACCACTTGACCATACACCACCGCTATTTGCTTCACTTAGCACTCTCACACTCAAGGATACTTCAAACTGCTGTTTTCATGTACAAGTAATGCACAATCTCTTGCCTGATGCAGTCTCCTCTTATTTTCACCTCGATAACTCACATCCATGATCACGATACTAAGTTACGCCCCAACCTCTTTCTTCCATATACACGCACACCTTACTCTGTTAACACCCGTAGATCTTTGGAGTAATATCGATAATAGCATTAAATCGTGGTCATCTCTGGCTTGGTTTAAAAGCTCCTTCAAAAAGTACCTTGTCACCAGTTATCTAGAATAGCTCCTTCTATATTCAATCATGCCATTTTTGTCATGAGCCATCTATCTTGCCTCACTTAATATAGTTTTTCCCATCCCAGTTAAGATTGAAGTCTGTCTCATGACTGTATTGTCCGTAGTTTTGTCCCATCCGATTGTCCCGTTTTATCCTGTTTTGTTCAATGCATGTCTATACACTACCTAGTCTTTCTGATAATGCCTCTATTATTGCCATGCAGCTTCTTTATTTGCTTAATTTCTTTGCACCTTTACTCTTTGAATTTATTTTGTTGTCATAATTTTCTACATTTATTTTTGTCACCATACATGGCATCGTGGAAATAAATGTTGTTGAATTGAGTTGAATTGAAAGATCGTAACCTTTTATAGTGGTCGTTATAATTTGATGATTACCACAATGAAACTAAAGTTTACACACTTAACAACTTGAAGTCTCCTAAATCAGTCTCCAGTTAATAAGAAAACCAAGATTTCGTTTTTGCTTCACGATACTGACGCCTCCCCAATAATCAGTAGGTAAGTCCCTAGGTTCACGTGTTTTCCTTGATCAAGTTAGCCCTCGCGCATCTTGACAGAGCGCGACGCCCAACGTTCTAGATGGATAACAAAAGTGCTCAACGCGCAATGACTCATTAAACGTGCATGCAGCTAGCTCAGCATGTACCGATTCTGTCAATCCTGCAGTAAGACCGTGACTGAGAAAAGTTAGTCAATACTTTGCCCATCATTATTTTTTTTTGATGGACCAGACAGGAGCTGTGTTGCAAGTCGTCGCAGCAGTGTTTATACTCCAGGTATTTACAACTTGGGCCGCACGTAAGTGACAAGTTTGATCATACCTTCTTGGCTTGCGGCAAGCATAGACACTGGCTTATTATGGATTACTAAAAGTGGCTGCTGCCGTAAAGCAATAGTTTCCATAGGCGGTAAGGTCAGGGAGCCTGTGCGAGCCTCAGCGGTTAGAACACTTCGTCTACATAGGCTATGTTTAAAACAATGGAATCATTTCTCATATCTTTATTATGGTATTAACAAAGTGCGCAAGATAACGCATAGGCCTACTACGAGCCTACAGCGCACTAAAGAAACGGCACTCTCTATGTGTGAAAACTCATGTTAAAACCCACTCTAAAATAGAGTGAGTCCCAGAAGCGTATCCAGCTTTTGATGTCGGGAGGCAAATTCAATAACGAATGTGGCATCGGGTTCATCCAACATGATAATGGGGGAGAAAAAAATCAAAGCCTATTTATTTGATAAATAAATGTACCGATTACTTTATTTCCTACTCACCAATGAAGTATTTAAGTTAGTTATAGGCAAGTTGCCCTCCTGTATATATACGACTGATGAGTCCCTTACAACTCCACTCCAAAAGTTTCGAAAAAAATTCTAAAAAAGAGTAAAAAACCACAGACCCCCAAAGAGTGAAAAACTGTTCCAAAAGAGTGAGAATAATTTCCACTCTGCCAAGGAGCCATTTAGAAGACAACTTGAGAGAAAGATTTTCCCTTTATCATCCTCTTCTTGGGGGATTTACACTCGTTTAGAGTGGGTTTCACTCCCACTGTGGTCTTCTTTCTTTTGGAGTGGATTGATTAAGGACTCACCTATTTTGAGAGTAAGGATGTCACTATGTTGCCTTTACAGAGAGTAAAATATGGCCACTAACCGTATGAACTGGAGTTAAAAGTAAGACAATAGACCGTATTCGCCAGGGACCCAATTTCAGTCGTATTCCCGAACGTAGTGTATTCATTTGAAAAAGTTAAAATGAAAGAACCAGACTCTCTTCTGCGATTTATTTCCGACCTCCTAAATCACCTGGTACCGTTCCAGTAAGGGTTTCAAATTTATACTGTACGTTCGGGAATACGACTGAAATTGGGGACGCCGCCAATACAATCTATTACGTGAAGTTTTAACGCTTCAAGTCCGTTCTTCACAGGCACGGAATAAAAATTTAAATATGTGATGGGAAAATGATGTGGCTCTAGTCTTGCAGTTTCAGAGAATGGTCTGTAATGATCTGTGATTTCAGTACTCTGTGCGTGAGACGTCAGGCTTAGATCGGAGGTGTGGAGGGATTCGCTTATAAAGTGAAGTAAATTAAAAGAACCAAGCAAATAAATAAACAAAATAGGAGAATAAATAGAATATACAAAAAGAGGAGAGATCCCCGCTGGTGATGGGCCTACTACGCCTGGCACAGAATTGTGGAAGTATTTCACAGCTATTTAGAGAGTTGGTTTGCTCGCTGTCTTATCAATGCGTTTTGCAAGTTGCACAAGAGTGCTGTTGAATGTTGTTACGAGCACATGGCAGTGCGGGCCTGTGCATTTACTGTTCCAACGACTTCCCTCCTATGAAGGTTCGAAGAAATTACGTTACGCATCCTGAAGAAACCTGTCCATTCCTCTGTAGGGCAGTAGGGAGAGCGAAAGATAGATAACAGAACCCTCATTGCAACTGCCAGAATTATTTAGCCTGGCGCACATGGCGCACTGCAGATTTGTGCGCGTTCAGAGCGAGGGTACTTCTTTTTAAGTTATTTCGCGCCGCATGTATGAACCCGAGCCGGACCAAGAGAGGGCGCAATATTCCTAACAACGGAGACATCTATGGTGGGAACTGCACTTCGCAGATTGAAACGTTTAGCAACTGAGGAGGGGTTGCTTCTGCTCAAGGCCATATGAAATTGTTTATTGTCGTTGTACTTACTTTGTTATTGATGCTGCTGTTTCTTCTCTTCAGCTGGGAGTGATTTACGACTGGTTGGGGAAAGTTCGTCCTACGAGGGCCGACTTGAGGTCTACCACGAGTCAACCAACCAGTGGGGAACGGTCTGCGACAATTCCTGGGACTACCCTGACGCCATGGTAGCCTGCAGACAGCTGGGATTCACCGCTGTCACTACGAGCCTGTACCACCTGGATGGTGCCTCGGCCCCCATCCTCTTGGATGTGGTCCAGTGTGTTGGACATGAGGGGAGACTGGCCGAATGTTCTCATGCTGGATGGGGTATTCACAGCTGCACGCACAGTGACGATGTTGCCATCCAATGTGGATACGATAACACTTACGGTAAGATAACTGCAGGCAGTTCACGGTTAAATTTCAATGGTTTGCATTCCGCTATACTTAACGAGACGGGTAAAGGGTTTGACTGGAGCAAGACTAGCGCTACACGACACTTTCCTACCAACTTCCCATTCCTTTTTCCTAGCTAGACATATTTTCACATACAGACGCCCGTGCGGTGACCTTCCAGCCATCTGGAATTCTTATCAACAATTAAAAAATAGGGATGAACCTGTTTGTAGTAGGTTTACATGCGGTGGGATATAAAGAATGGGACCTGTACTTAACGTGGCTGAGAAGTATGTTTTTCTCCCAGTTTCAACCAACTGTGTTAAAAGAACACTAGTGCATGAACTTTAATGAAAGTTTGACATCATAGTATGTTCACCGTTAATTAGTCGACCCGATGCCGATCCGACTAGTCGGCGGGAGTGTCAGATCAGGACGCCTCGAGGTCTACCTCGACGGCGCCTGGGGCACGGTCTGCGACGACAACTGGGACCTGGCGGACGCCCAGGTCGCGTGCCAACAGCTGGGCTTCACCACGGTGGCCAACTACCTGCTCCCGGCCATTGAGGGTGCGACGGGCCCGGTCCACGCCTACTACATCGGGTGCCAAGGTAGCGAGACCCACCTGGGCCAGTGCGTCCAGCGCGGCGGCTGGGGCAGCCGTTACTGCGGACACGACGAGGATGTGTCGGTGGCTTGCGGTGGGTTTCCCACTTTTGTTGGGGAACTGTCACATAAGTGTAGAATATGTAACTTGTGTCAGTTTCGTTCAGAAGAAAAACTAGAAAAAAACAGCTAAAGGGGGAAATACGACAGTGAGTCTACTTTCTCCTCAGCAGATTTGAATGAGATTAGACTGGTGTGTAATTTAAAAAAGTCTTTCCAAGCGAGGGATTTTATTGCGTTGACGTAATTATTGCGTTAAAGACACTCTGAAGTGCGCAACCAGATTTTTGTTGTGGGCGTGGTCAGGCAATTCAGTTTCCAAAATACACACCGGGATACTAGTCTGTGAAGTGTTTTAGGCTGGTTCCCATATCAATAATCTCGACGGCAGATAGCCAAGGTTAAAAGTAAAACACAGTATGACCTTGTGTTCAAGATGTCCCTTTCATTAATTTGTAGGTGCATCGCATACCAATCAGAGTAGTACAAAAGTGAAGATGGATATTCAGAGAATACTAGAGATAATTGAGGAACTTTTTTTGTTTAATTTTGATTATTTTGATCTGAAAAGAGAAGGCGCGGATATTGACGACAGTGCCCGAAAATCAAAGAAACGCGTTCGAGGTATTTTGGCCAGTTTCGAAATTTTCTTAACAATTCCTCCCGCTCTGGTCATCAGACCGCTGCGCCTACCCGACCTAAAAGTTGTACCAATCGTTTGGTTGGAATCGTTTGGTCCAGGACCAGCCACTGAAATGTTTGTGGACTACTTTGACCCATAGAGAGTCCTCACATGGAAACGTCCCTCCGCCTAGCTGACGGGAGCCGGCCAAACGAGGGCCGCCTGGAGATTTACCACAACGGCGAGTGGGGCACGGTCTGTGACGATTACTGGGACCACCATGCCGCTGCAGTGGCCTGCCGTCAGCTCAGCCTGGGGTCCCCGTCGCCATTGACAGGAGTCTACATCCCCCAGGGCGCTGGGAGCATCCTGCTGGACGATGTGATGTGCCAGGGGTGGGAGGCCAGGCTAGTTGACTGCGGACACCTGGCTATGGGATCACATAATTGTGGCCACCATGAAGATGTGTACTTGGCTTGCAGCGTTGAAGACTTCAGTAACATTGGTATATATTGAAATAATAAGAATAAAGACTTTGATGTTAATTATTATCGCCCCGATTATTTATGTCTTGCATAATTAATGCAATTTACATGCGCCTTGTTAAAGCGCCCTTCATGCACGTTCCACTGCTAAATTTACGTTAACTTAAGATAAAACTTGTGAATTTTACCTCCTATTTATTCTACTGTAGACCTTTTCACTGAAAAATTTTAATCTAATCTTAATCTCGTGCGCAATGGAAAAATTACGATTGTGAAGTATTTTTATAGAGCAATAAAAATCCCGCTTAGATTAGAAACTAATACAAAACGATTTAATGGGATTTTCAGAAGAAAAAATGAACAGCCGGAAAACCGGAGAGAAAATGATCAAAATCGCAATCCGGTACATTTTCTATGGCCTTTGCAGCCAAGGCCAAATGTGCGCATGCGTGCATATTTATGAATTTATCAGACAGAAGCTCAGACAATCCCTAACAAAATAGTTGGAACACCTTGTGGGAAGTGCAGTGAAAAGATCCCCCTCTCCCCCATTCAATCTTGTAGTCATTAAGCCCAACTTACCCAATGAGAAACAACACTGACAGTGGGCGAGGGGAAGCATGTTCCAACGAGATTTGTCCAGGATTGTAGTCCCCACAATGTCGTTCATTTGACACAGCACACGAGACCATCCCCAGGTTAGGGTTGCCCCGTGGAAGCTATAAATCAAAACATAAGCTTGAATATAACGACAACTCGAAGCGCAGGGCGTAGACTTGCAGTAGCGTATCCAAGAGGGGTGCAGAGTTGCAGAAAATTATGGAATAGAGCATTTAAGAACAAAATCGGGATGCTAAAGGAAGCAAAATCTAGACAACTAAATGGATAACGAGTGCTGAATTGCAGCAGTGCAAATAAACCATAAATTAAGCAAAACTGGAATGGGTAGAAAATAGAAAGTAGAATGGGTAGAAATATGAGTGAAAAAGGCATCGAGAAGAGTGCGATAAAAAGTACTCTGTAATCGACGACTCCTTTTTTCATAACCTAATTTATGTATGGCAATGAACAACTGAAGATCTGTGTCTTAAACGGGGGGGGGATGAAAATGACGAAGCTAATTATCAAGAGAGCAACAAGAACAACCTTTGCAAAAGACGGAAGCGAATGCTTCAATCGGGAGGGCTTATATCCTTCCCATTTCCAGGGAACGACGCCTTTGTTATCGTTGTTTTGACGTTTTAAAAAGCAAATCATGATCTGTCTGTCTGTCTTCCATTCTTTCTTGTTGCTTTATATCCCTACTATTCCAGCGACGATGCCAGCTCCTGACAGCTACACTTTGCACCTAGCCGATGGCCTGTCACACTACGAGGGCCGACTGGAGTTGGACATCAACGGCGTGGCAGGTGGGATCTGCGACACCGACTGGACGTTGAGGGACGCGGTCGTTGCGTGCCGGCATTTGGGCTTTGGTACGGCCATTCGAGAGGTCCCAGACGGCACTTTCGGCGTAAATTACGGCGGGTATTACTGGCGGAACAACGTTACCTGCTCGGGGGAGGAGGCCACGCTGCAAGACTGCTCTGTCGGGAATTTAGGTTTGGGCTTCTGCGCACACGGCGGGCATGATGTAGGAGTGTCGTGCACTGGTCCCTTTATCGGAGAGGAACGTGGCATGCGCAACGCAGGTAGGCCTGCCATATAATGTTAATAAAAGGGTGCAGACCAGTAAGTCAGTTGCCATAGACAACAGTGATAAATATCCCCACTATAAAAAATCAGGAAAAATACAAGTTTCACAGATGTTCAAGACACATATCAAATTAAAGCCCACTTCCTCATATTTTATTTTCCTTTGAATTTCCAGTGGCTTAACTGATGACTTTTGAAGATATTTTTCTCCAGAGAAAATCACCCCTGAAAACAGTCAGGAGGCCCATCGCCATTTTGGAAATTGATGCCTACACTCCATGACAAAATAGCGCAATTTGGAGGGCCCCGTTTGGTCCGATACTTTCAGAAATATAAGCTGACAGTCCTGCCCCTGCATTTCATTTACCTTTTTAACAAACTACCCAGTCCACGTGCCGCGAAAGGCTCTAATAACAGAGAATTTGACAGCCTACACATCGTAATTTGGTCTGCGCAGGCAATTTTGCACCTATTTAATGGCCTGCAACCAGAAGGGGTCCTACGTTGTAGGCCTATTACCAAATTAAAAACAAACAACAAGAGTTTTGGACATCATTTCAATGTACTCAGCCAGTTCGGTAGTACAACAGCATATACCTAAAATGAAGTGCGTATGTGGCAACCTCGTTCCATGGGTACGATCTAGCCGCGTTAAGTTGGCTCTCATTGTGCCTTGCACGATCTTCACTCGGAAGCGCGTGCGAGGTCTGCCCCATCAGCGCGGCTCTATGTGTTGATTTTTTGAAATACCTAAAACAGTTCAGCTATTTCTGTCGGTCGAAAGGCCGTCACGTGGCCGGTTTTTAACAATTGACATAGTATCAGCTTGCTGTGTGCAATCTCAAACATAACACGCCACGCACGCGCCAATGTACGACTACTCAAGAGAGAAAGATACCACAACAAACTAATTAGAGCGGTGCATGAAATTATCGGAAATTTGTAATTTATAAACTTGTTTTCACTTTCTGAAGTTGAGACAAGTTTTGAAAGTGTTCAATAGTTCGAAACTGGTTATCTCAAACTGTTTTGACTTTCTGACCAGTATTTATTTCATGTTAATAAATATGTGCCTGCGGCTATAAAGCGTTAGTAGATTCCACTCTCATGAGTTGGTTTTAAACAAATGATTAATTGAAAAGGCAGGCCATTCCCATATTACAAAAAGTGATCATTTTTGTGGATTGGGTTCGCATAAAACGTTCGATTCGTACGTGTCACAAGTTGTTGAGAAACATGAACTGCCCTCTACAGTTAAGCGCCACCAACGATAGAAATTCAGAAAATTAAGATTTATATTTCAAGCATTACATAAAGTTATGAACATTTCCAGTGTCAGCTGAAGGTTTTCTGTCTACTTTAAAAAGCGGTTTGGTTTAGTTTGTTTTTAAAACCTGTCGGAATTTTTCGTTTGGCATCCCATGCAGCTGTCCGTTTAGAGGGAGGTTCCAATTCAGCAGAGGGGAGAGTTGAGGTCCTTTTTAACGGTGAGTGGTCCACGGTCTGCGACGACGGTTGGGACGATATTGACGCCGGCGTTGTGTGCCGACAAATAGGTTTCATGGGCGCGGAGAACTCGCATCACTACATCGACGGGCTACCGGTCGCAAGTGGACCGATACTTTTGGACCAAGTCAGGTAAAGAGTGTTTGTTTAATGGGTAAGTTTGAGACTGTGGTGAATAGTCGTGTGTATGGCTACCCACAGCAAGGGCGGATGGGGAGGAGCAAAGTGGGAAAGTTGCATGAAAACATTCCAAATTATTACCATTCAGCAATGATGGTCCCCCGAAAAGTGGTTCTGATGGATCCGCCCTTGCCTTACAGCTGCAACAGGCGCGATGTTTTATCCTTTCACAAGTGAACTCTGCATGGCCAGGTCGACACACAGCAAGTCACTCCGACCCCGCACAAATGGTCGTTAAACCTTGAACCCTTATCGGGTTCTATCCAATCGATATCGGTTCAAAATTAAGTGTCGTTTCGCTGCGGTCTTATGATACCCCTTCCTCCTCATCACAAAAATTTCAGCTCTTGTTTTTTTTTTTGACTGAAGGTGTGAAGGTGACGAGGTTACCATCATGGGATGTCGGCATAATGGGCTTCATACCCACGATTGCGTACATGACGAGGATGTTGTGATTAAATGCTACCATAACAAAGGTAACTGATGGACTGCCTTTTGATGGAAAATTATCAGGAGGAGTTGAATTTTCTTTTCAACTTAATTGCTTTATCCACTGGTAACAATTTTGGAGATTTGTCAGCATTTAGGAACAAACATTAAGTCAAGGGAAGATGGTCCTTTCAGAAGCTTCATTCGCTATTGATTTTCAAAAGCACAAGAACCCAAGCTGAACAAGGTTATCAGAATTTGTCCATCGGGAAAACAAAAAGTTCTCTGCGTTTGAATCCTGAATGTGTTAAGCTCCCCAGGGAGTCTTCTGTTCTGTCCGATTCAAAACCTCAGGTCCAAATTTTGTGAAGTCAAACTTTGCCTTTGTTGCTTGTACATTGCTTTCTGCAGTGCATGATTGGAAGCTTGGTGGGGGTAAAGTCTTCGGTATCGTTACAGTCGTCTGCGTTGCCATCTCCTTGGGTTTTTTCATCATCAGGAGGCGCATGCAGCTGGAGAAGCTACGAAACTTGTTGGTGGTGCCGGAAAGTGAGCAACCTGAGCCGGCCGAGGGTCCAGGCCCGGGGGGACTGACATCCCCCCGCCCGTATCCCGTCCAGCCGGCCTATCCTCAACTGCAGCTTCGCCCCCCACTGTCGCAACCACTGAGTCAGCCGCCCTGCGGCCCCGGGCTCACGGCCGCCATTCCACCTCTGCCGCCGGTTGGCTTCCCCGATCCCAACCCGCTGCCGGCGTCGTACATGACGACCACGTCGGGAGCCGACGGAGTGAGCCAGCTGCCGGTGTACTTGCCGTCACCGGTTGCAGTTACGAGTATGCCACCGGTTCAGGATAGCTTGCCACAGGTTCAGGGCACGGCACCTGGACAGCTGCATCCCATCCATGGCCGGGTCCATCACACCAGTTCATCTCATTCATACAGATGAACAGTAATCGTATCGGAATAAACAATACAATAAGGAAGGATATCCCTCATGCTTTGTTCAGCGGGTATTGGCCCTGGGTACCCTCTCCATTTGCACTGAAACCACAAAATGCCAATCTTAACATCCCCTTGTCATCGCGGAGTCAAGAGGAACAGCCTGGAGTACCCTTGGCTGAGCGATTTTCTTTTACACATTGGACTGAAAGACTGTCTCAAGGGTCCTAATCGGAATCAATTTCGCAACACTGTTAAACGTTCTTTTGTTTTTGGCAATCATGTCTCCTATTCAGGGGAGCCTAGTAGTATCAGTTGCACTTGTAGCGCTCAGGTCCCCACATTATAGAGTCATACATGTCAATATAACTTGATATGACTTATATAAATATGTAAATATGACTTACATTTATATTTATATAACTTATGTAAATATAATATACATAACTTGATACATGACACTGTTGTGGTTGCTCTCGATATTGGTGCACTTCACAAGAACTCTGATATATATTGTTTTGTGTTCATAGTAAACAGTTCATTACATCTGACTGAATGCAGTGAAAAACAGGGCCGTAGTATTTGACAATAAAAAAAGCTATAGGCTGTCAACAATCAGTAATAATGGATCTGACATATTTGATTTTCTCAGTGCACTGATTAGTATGTCTGCTCTTATGTGGAATTTAAAATCTGCTATCCCACACTTGACGTCTACACGAAAGCGCTTGAGCATACATCTGCAAGTCATCACGTCGTAAGTTCACTGATGAATTGCTCAGACGAGATTTTCAGTAAGGCCTTTGAGCAGAAACGGTGCAGTGCCTTTGTAAACGCAGAAATCTACAAGTGCACTTGCTCTTTTCTGATGAGGGCTGTGTAAAGCTGACGGCTTTTGGCCCAATCCCTGGACATTCGTATCCTAATTCTCTTTCTTTTTGATGGTTCACAAATCGAAAACATTTTCATCATATCACATGGTTGTTGTCCTTCAAAGATGTATACACTTCTGCAGACAGGAGCTAAAAACCAGAAGGTTCGCCACGGCGCAAAATATGCGGTAATACATGTAATATTATTGTGTCCATCACAACTTGGCGGCAAAATGGCCCAAGTTCCTTTTTCGAAGGAGTGTTATTGTGGTTATTCTATTCTTGCGCAACGTCCAATTCCTCCTGTGAATTCAAGATAAGGAAACGTTTGAAACGTTGTGATCGCATAAGTTGTTACATTTCACGAATTATGAGCGTTTTTGGCTCCATGATCGGCCCCAACTCGTAAGCAACCATTTTCTCGTGGAACTGTTTGCATATCCGGCATTGACTGCCGGATCACCATTTGTCGCGTACCAGTACGCTTCAAGCAACAGCAAAAGTCTTAACCAATTACGCATTCACTGATGCAAATTGCGTGGGGTTTTAATTTGCCCTACTAAGAAGTATTCCTCATGAAATGTGGGCCCCTATACACAATGAAGTCGCCTTTGCAACCTCTTTCTTTTTCTTAGTTCTACGCCTTGTTCATTAAAAAATCCGGGAGATACCATTTCTTTGTGTGTTTATTGAGGCCGTTTTGAAAGTACTTCAGAGGCATCCACGGATAACTATGCAGGATCCCTGTTCGCTGGCGCTCCAAATTTCCCGGAAATAGACTGAGAGAACGTAGTCTTCGTTTCAAGGTCCGCTTATTTATCAACATGTTGTGGGTCAGTAGCAGTGATCGCAGAATTTCGACGTAACTCCAGCTGAGATTAAACTAGTATCGATCGAGTATTTTGTACAGTTTGCCTTTGGCGCACGTTCCCTGGAAGTTTTTCGAACTTTCATGTCTGACAATGGATCCTGATGTTGAGTCATGCGAAAGGGCAAATGTTTCCATATACCAACTGGTTCAAGTTTCATTCCCACATTTCAACAGGTGATATCCCCGAATGAAAGGCTAGCGTTACGATTTCAGTTATTCCAAATTCCTTGCGTGTCGGTGCCTCACCGCCTAGGTATTTGTGTTATTTTATTATAAAGAAGCCTGCTCGTTGCAAAACCCCACAAAGGGTCTGCTCGTCTTTTGGTACTATGCACCGTTGGGCCAGCATCTCCTGGTCGACTTCTGCTCTACGTCTCTCTATATCTTCTCCCCATCGCCGGTCCTTGGTCGAGGCTGACACCGCTGTGGAGACTGGACCCTGGACTGTTATCTTGGCCCCAGATGAGGCTAACCCCCCGGGGTTCTGCGCCGACCTACCTGTCTGGGCTGGGCTGATCTGAGGTGTTAAATGTATTTGGCCAGATGTCTGGGCTGTTTTCGTTGGGGGAAGTGCCAGGCAGGGCATGTTCCTGCTGCTGGACGCCTTATTTAAGGTGATTATACTCGGCCCACTATTTGCCCTCTACCTGTGCTCATTAACCAATGCCATTCTGCCGGCTTGCTACTTAACTTTGCTCCTTTTTTATAACTTTGCTTGGCTACGTATTTCTCCAGCTTTTGCTTGCTTGTCACGGATGCTTTGGTACGTTTGTCAGTAACATTTGGCGTTTCTATGAGAAGCTTAAGTTACAAAGTTGAAAACCAACTAATGATTTTGATTTATTTCAGTGTACTAGTTTTTTAAGTTTATCAATTAAATTTTGCTTTGGATGTGTTTCGTTAGCTTCGTCTCAGCATCAAAGTAATACCTCCTCCACTAGAGATTTGGATTCAAACATTTACAGTCCATCACAGTGTTGTTAGCGCATCATTTCGCTTGAAACTTGGGACGCCTTGAATAAGACATATGCTGCGTTAAACTCATTATGGAAAGATTTGACTTTTAACACCAGCACAAAAATCAGTTCGGAACAGCAAAATCCAGTTCTATGCAGAGTAATATAACTGCTTGATGCAATCTTAATTTTGAGACTTTCGTCAGGAAATCTTTATTCAATACAGGGGAAGAAAATTCCGGTTTTCTGTGTATATCCAGCAAGAAATGAGGCAGAGAGGTACAGTCCTAAAATGTCCAATCACCATACACACGCTAGACTATTGTTACCTAACACAATCATCTAGATATCTAAAAGGACTTTTTCAGATTCCAGTGAAGCAATGACCAACATAAAGCGCGGGGGGGTTCTGAATGTGATCCAAATCATCCAACCTGGATTAAAAAGGTTGAATAAATTTTGTCAAATATAGAGATTACAGTTCAGGTTTTGGTATTTTTTTTGTTCCCTCCCAATGTGCTTGCAGCTATTATGGTTTGTTTTCCGCTCACAGTTGGTTTTACTGTTTCTGAATCTGTCAAAATCAGCCCATCTTGGTGTCAACCGAAGGAGCACGTGTTTCATTGTCATATTTCAACAGGCTGTAAAAATAAGATCGCGCGAAGGTATCAGGTCCTCCTCTTCCTAACTCCCATTGTGTGTCCTTTATGTGATCGTTTCGATCAAAGTTGGGTCTTTATATGAGCATTAACAGTCTGGCAATTGCCCTATCCTGATAACTGTGATTGAAAAGGGCAAATGCTACTCTTGAATTGGACTTGCAAAAAATGACTTGGGACTTGACTTGGACCTGCACATTATGACTTGCTACTAATGCAAATCAGAAAACTATTCAATGGAACCCATTTCAGATAAGCGTATAAAACTTCGTTCGGCTCCTGACTTCTTCAGGCCTGTTTGCCCAAGACCACGCCTGAATCACATGGCTGTACTCTCGCACATATTGTTTAGCAGTGCTTAAGTTTTCATTGTTTCCTCCCAACTTTTCGGGGAGCTAATCAACAGCTTCGTTTGAGCCTTATATTGAACTATTCATATCAGTTCATGACGTCACTAAGCCTAGAATAAAAACAAAAAAATGGCGTATTCCCGATCTGAAAGTCCGAAAATTTCCACGTAAAATGCTGTGCTTGGGTGGCTGTAACATGCCTTCAAGACACACTAATAGATTTTTTAAAATAACAAATACGCATTCAAATATATTTAGACATTTCTTGAGCATTCATCCTGCAAATCTAAAGTTTCGGGAGAAATAAGCGAAATTCGCGGTACTAAACCAAGAGGAGACATAATACACCGTGACCGAACCGTGTGCGACAGTGTGCTACACGGCAAAAATTGAAAATGGCTCATATTTTTTGGTTATCTGCGCCCATCGCAAACTAGTTCTTGGCTACTGCCCCAGACTCATAGAATGAGTCAGAAGAGGTGACGTCCTACATCTTCATAATTTTTTTGTGCAATTTTCCTTTGTCCACAGGTTACACTGGGCCACTTCCCACGCAAAGATGGGTTCGCATTTTGCAGCATAACGCGTCTGAAAATTGTCCAAATCTGGAAATCGCAGGGGCATCCTAAAGAGCGTGTATGTCTCTATCCATTCAGGTAAGTGTCATGTCCATATTTGCTTTAGTTTGGGAAATATCGCAAGAGAAGGCAAGAGTTCCTGTCTTACTGCTTCTTATGTTTCTCACACAAAGATGTTACCCTTTGAGTATAACAGGTCTGAAATTTGTCCAGATCTGGAAAACATGATGAATATGAACGGGCTCATCATTCCTCTATCTACTGGTTCAAGTCCCAGTTTCATATTCTACATGATGGAGAGATGTCCAAGAATGAAGAGTTCAAACCTGGTGAGTGCTGCTTCCTATAATTATTTTCATATTCCCCTTTGTACGGAGGTTACACAGTCCGTGTTATCAGAGTTGGGACTCAATATCTGAGCTATTTAAGGTAGTGTACGGTATACACAATTGTGTAATTTTTCAAAACTTGAGATCGGGGGGGGGTTGTTGTATATTTTGTGTATCATTCACGGACTTCTTTCATTTTATGAGTTCACTGTTTTGGGAAAATAAAATAAACCTTTTCGGTTTTAACACTCTTGTACAGTAATTAGTCTTGAAACAATCTATGGGCCACGGGACATCACTGAGTACCTGGATAATGCACGGGCGAGGTCGATCTGCCTATTAATTACGATTAATTTTTTTGCGCAGCCTAGAATAATGATAGTGGTTAACAGATTTATACGTTCTCTTAAAGAGTTTGTGTCCCTTCGTTCAGTTGCAACGCTGATTTTTTTTTCAGAATAAACAACACTTCATTGTGCAGGAAGGTGACTGCAGTCACCACGTGCGTTACACCACGTACTTGTACATGTGTACACATGCCCGATCGACCACACTGTCATGGTTCGCCACATGTAAACCTGTAAAAAACCATCCACACACCGTCAGTGCATATCATATATTTTAAACAACAAATGCTGTAAATACCCTTGCATTTGGGCCATAAAAGTTATTCTGATTTAAAAAAGGAATTAAAATCTGCCGAAATGGCAGATTTTGTTCGATAAAACCAGCTTTACCACGGATCTCGAAGGGAGCAGCCATTTTTTCACTTTGCTAATCGGTTTGGACCATACCATCATCTTACTGAGGGGTGATAACGACATAATGACATCTTTCTGTGGGATAAACTCCTTTTTCTAAAAGAACCTGTTAATTTCAGACCAATCCAAATTTTATTTAGGCTTTTCATTGCGGTTGTATATCTGTTTTATCACTTAAAAAAATGTTAGGGCTTACCCAAGAGCGCAATTGAGCTTTTATCGTTAACCGTTAATTGAGACCCGTCCTACAGCTACACGTATCACAACGTCTTTGTTGCAACCCTTATTTGAACGAATTGTATTCTCTAAAGAAGTATAAAACCTCTATTTTCTCGAACATGACCGCACTTCGGGCGGAAAGATTTCACAGATTGTCTTAGTGACACTTTTATTGCAGTAAGATATTTAAAGAGAATTCAACAGTCCCGTTTTTCAGATGTTGCAAATCATATACAGTGTCTTTAAGAAGTCTGCAAATTGTCCAAATAGGCCCATATCCGGGCCATTCAAAAGGGCATACGTGTCTGGGCTAACAAGGTTCATTTCCATATTTCCAAAATTAATGAAAGGTTACAGTTTGAGTCAGAATTGCATCCTATTTTTGCACTTCCCGCTGAGTACGAGCGTTACACAGTTTCCCGTTTTTCAATGAAAGTTGGGTATCTATATCTGAGCTTACAAAGTCTGAAAATGGTTAAAATCGCGGCCCATCTTAGTGTCATCGGAATGACATTTATATCTCTATGCACTGGCACAGTTTCATTGCCATATTACAAAAGGTTAAAGGAATATCCGCGAATGAGAAATTTCAGCTGGTCAGTCTGCTTCGGCAGTTTTCGCCTCGGTCAACCCCCTCTTCGGGGGTTTACTTGTACCCCCCTCTAAAACCATTGGTAGGACCTTATGAATCCTGCTGTTTTTCAAAATAAAAAAGCGAAAGATCTATGCTTGATCCGCTTTGTTGAGGATTTGTACCCCCCCCCGAACAATCCTAGTTGCGGGCCTGAAAAGCGCCGTCTAACGTCCATCTCCGACATCTTTCGAGTTTCCATAGCGCCTGGGAAATAACACAACATCCCCCAACACATCCCAGTCGTTGCCACAAATCTTTTAATATCTAGCATAATAGTATTTCGAAATAAAATGTTCGTAAAATAACGTCTAAGCTGTTTTATTGTACAGCTTTTGAAGGCTGAGATCCTAATTCTATACCCTAAACTGTTCTATTTAATACCCGAAAGTTTCATGACTATTTGCACTCGTGAAAAAGACCATGATAAAAGTTGATGACTGTTCTTTGGTCTTTACGCGGAGGATCCAGTATTAGGCAAGGGGGGGGTTTCTGTTGACCAGTGTGAAAACACGTCCCTGCAAGGGATAAAAATAATGTTAGTGCTGTCATTTGCATTTTAGCATATCTAGAGACAGTGTAGCAATTACTCGAGTGTGTTAGCCTTTCAAAAAGCCTTTTAAAGAGTTCTTCCTCTATCGGCACAAGGAAGGGTGTTATTAACATAGGGGCCTGGGGAAACATGTCCGTTACAAATACCGTTTTGACGGTAAATGCAAATGCTAAGTTTAGGACTACACCCATTTGTGAGATACGCCTTGATTGAAGAAAAAACAATAGATAATGTAGTTTAAAAAAGTTACATATCATTCGAGGCAGATCTCCTTCACGGACGGATACACCCCAGGATAGTTACCTCCCCTTCATCAACTCGAGTGTGTAGATTCAAAATAAGCCTTCCATCGTCACGCATTGCCGGGTCAAAGTTGACCATAAACGATACTCAAGTTCGATGGGAACAAAAGCTGTAATCAGAAACATACCGCCATTTTTGCCACAACTAGAAACCTTCACTGTTGGCCGTTGAGCTTTGTTTCCCTGTTTCTCTGATCAGTGAGCATTGCAATAAGCTTCCCGAAAGCAAATAGGGCAAGGAATCCCAAGCAGTTTCCGGCAGTTCACATTCTTGTAAACAAATATGAACTGTCGAGGTTAACGAGCCATATTACATCATTTGGTATGGTCAGTGAAGAACGTCATATCTCCAGTAATTAGCGTAAGGAGCTTTCGCATCACGCAGGGTGGCCTACAATTTTTGTAAGACTTACAAATGCTACTTATACGAGGTAAAAGTCGTACGTATTTGCCTGCCTGTACCCTCGGATTGCACAAAGAGCGAACGAGGGAGAGATTTATTCTTCCACTTGACTTATGATGGAGCCAGTGAGCGTACACGTGATAACGTACACATTGTAATTTGTGATGTCGGGATTGTGTGTACATGCAGACGGGAAAACAGCTCGGGCATACAGGCATGTAAAATCCTTAGCCAGTGTTGTCACAATGATTTTACACAGGCTCCCCTCCACCACCTCACGACAAATATAGGCGGCGCCTGTCAATACAGACCCGGCGCCCGGATTCGAAGACTGGCAGAAAAGACATGAATTGCGCTGAACGTGCTATACAAAACCCACCGCCCAGTTAATTTTGCGGTCGTGCAGCGAAAGCGCCGATCTCGCCTATTCAGTCGTTGTTTCAATCCCTGGCCTCGGTCACACTTCTTAGGCGGCAGTCTCGAAGAGGAAACAAGTGGGGCATTTGAACATGCCGACTCGATCGACCTACGTTAAAGTGTGAAATTTGATTCTGCGTATGACCTAATGTATATAACTTGATTGGAGGGTCGAAACTCCCCTATATTCTTGTTGGTGTAGACGAGTGTCAATTCATAATTCACTGACGGAACAGCCGGCTGCATGAAAAGGCTTTTATTTTCAGTGTTGACAGGCATTACAAGCATGGTATGATCAAAAATCAAGTGCAGATATTATTATTTGGACATGTCGTTGTGTTTCTGCCTCCAACCTTTCCCCCACATTTTTCCTGAGAAATGGAATGTTCAAAAGCTTCTACACGCGTGTCCCGTAAATCTGAACATGGGGGGTAATAAATAGAGAAAGCAAATATTATATTACAGCGGCATGTTTCCTTCAAATAGTATATATAATATACTGTATTATTTTCCTTGTTGGAATGATTTCCTGTTTTTTTGTAAACTTGTCAGCTGTCTACATGTATTTTTTTCAAAGGCAGCTGTAAAAGTATTAAATAACTGAAGTGTACAGAGTACAGTACAGAATTTTTTAATATAGTTAACAATAACGATTGAATAAATTGCCTGGCATTTCGCTACCACCCCGATGGAATTTAACATTCATATTTCAAAATTCACATTTTAAGGTGAATATCTCTGTACAATCCAATAGACGAATGGAAAAATTTTACCATCAAAATGCGGTTTATAGGCATAACCTAATCGATTAGCCAATATGTCACGGCTGCATCTAACCGATTGTCATGCGCTGCGCAGTGTATGTAATTCGCATCCGCCATACATGTACAACCATGACGTCCCCACTTCGATTATGTTTGCTCATTTTAATGAACCTGTGAATGAATTACAGGCAAGGCTTCGTGATTCGAACAAAAGCATGTGGTCGCACACTTGGTTTCCTTGACAGCACCGTTGCTATGGCCATGCTGGTTTATGGAGAAAGAGTATTCAATCATGAACTCCACCGTCGCCGACCCGACTGACTCCAGCCAGTCTCTCTACTCGTACGAGGCCCGATTCGGTCTCGCCTTCGTGTGGTCCGCAGCCGCTGTGCTTGGTCTGGTGGGGAACAGCCTCGTGATCTGGTCGGTCGTTCTCTCCAAGAAGCTCCGCACCGTGACCAACGCCTTCGTGGTCAACCTCAGCGTGGCCGATTTCTGGACCAGTCTGTCCTATCCTTGGGAGGTGGTGGCCATGTTGCAGGATGATTCTTGGCCGATGGCCTCGGAGGTCCCCTGCGTCATCGCTGCCATACAAGTTTACACCGGTCTCGGCGCCAGCTTGCTGTCTCTGGCAGTGATAGCGTTCAATCGCTTCATGCTGGTCACCCAGACCACCGCAACGTACAGGCATTGGTACTCCCCGGGAAAAGTCTCCGTCATGATCGCCACGACTTGGATCTGCCCGTTTTTCGTGTTCCTCCTCCCCCCAGTCATAGGCATCGGAGAGATAGGATACGATCCCCAAGACCACACTTGCTCTGACAAGGACGGACACCCGCGCGGGACAGAATACAACCTGGCTCAATCTCTGGGTCTGTTCCCTGTCCCAATGGTTATAATCGTCAGTTCCTACTTGGCATTGTACATCCATCTCAAACGTCACTTCAGAAAGCAGAAGAAGAGGCGCACCCAGTACGCCAACCCAGCTCAGGATGACACGTCAGCAGTTTCGCATTCGACCGTCAGTTTTAGCGTCGCGAACGAGTGCCCCGCAACACAGCAAAACCAGACGACCAGAAACCAACGACGAGCAATCAGCCGTCAGCAGCTGGCGATCACCAAGAACCTCTTCATGGTTTTCTGCATCTTTATATCCCTGATGGCCCCTTACTTTGTCTCCCTGGCAGTACCTTCCGGTCGCAGGTTCGCTCTGTACGGACTGACCATCAGCATCGTTAACAGCTGCGTGAACCCCATTCTCTACACGGTCAACCATCCCCACTTCAAGGGAGTTCTTCGGAGCATCCTTCGCTGCCGCTACTCGCAGATACCCGAACCATCCGACTGGTTGAAATCTGTCCTGTCCCGTCATCAGTGAGAGCGTGGTCGCGCAAACAATGTTTCAAACTCCCAGAACTTTAGTCCTAACTTGTGAGTTGAACCATAACGAACCAGTTTCCCCTTTTCATAACTAAGTGCGATTAGTTCATGCGAGCACTTGAAAAAGTTCCTTAATGTTAAGTTGATGCCAATTCAAGGGAATACATTCTTTGAAAAACACTGTTGACAAATTGAAAAGATCTAACAAACTTGTAATATGTAGATATAAAGCCTGCGAGAGCAAAAGTCAAGAACATTCAAACACTGCTGTATTCCTGTACATGTATATAAATACCAAAAATGAAAGCCAAATTAAGTTCTATTTATTTAACCTTTCAGATAAGTTTACACTTTCCCTTTGGCCATCTCAACGATCCCCATTTTAGTACCTTGATGGAAAGTACATAGGTCATAAAAACCATTAAACCGATCAGTTACCTAAACATATTTTCGTGGTGAAATAGTGAAAATTGTCGCGTATAGGAACATTATCGTCAAAAATGCAACCATTTCACAGGCTTCAGAAAAGACTTGGATAAGTCGGGCGCGAAAAAAAGAAAAGATTCTTTACAAGCACTCTTCCTGAGGAACTTATCTCGTATAATGGAATGTCAGTTTCAATTTCCGTGTTGAAATGCCACAAGAGAATGCCGCAGAAGGAAATGTTTACAAGGCTTGGTATCAGCTGGCCTGGGAATATGGACATGTGAAATATTTAATCTCAAGTGCCTGTAGAATACGACGTTTGAAAATAGGCTCCTATTGTTCCTCATTTAGCGTAAACAGTCACAGAGATCACAACGCACTCAACACGCCGAGCTCTCTATCTAAAGAGAGACGGTGTTTGTTAGTTCCATTGTACCAATTGCAGTCATGGCTGTGGCAATTACAAACGAAACATTGCCAATCGTGGAAGTTAATACCACTGAAGACCCGACGACCACGAACCCGCCACTCTACTCTTACCAGGCCCGCATTGGCTTTGGTTCTTGTTGGCTCATTATCGCCATCCTTGGACTGGTAGGGAACAGCCTCGTGATCTTGTCGGTCATCTTGTCCAAGAAGCTCCGCACAGTGACCAACGCCTTCGTGGTCAACCTCAGCGTGGCCGATTTCTGGACCAGCCTGTCCTACCCGTGGGAGGTGGTTGCCGTACTAAGTCAGGGGTCTTGGTCGTTTACAGAAGTTCCATGTGTCATCGCTGCTGTGCAGCTTTATACCGGTCTCGGAGCGAGCCTTTACTCACTGGCTGCCATTGCTCTAAATCGTCTGATGTTGATTACCCAGTCCCCCGAAACATATGGACGTTGGTACTCCCCGGGGAAAGTCTCCATCATGATCGCTTTGACCTGGGCCATTCCATCAGTTGTCTTCTTCTTGCCACCAATTGTCGGCATTGGCGCGTTTGGCTACGATCCCACAGACAACACATGCTCTGACAAGGATGCACACCCCCGTGGCCCAGAATACAACCTGGCTCAATCTCTTGGCCTGTACCCGATCCCCATGCTTATCATCATTAGTGCTTACACTGCACTGTACATCCATCTCAGACGTCATTTCAAGAAGCAGAAGCAGAGACGTGCCGAGTACAGTGGACCGTCTCAGAGCTCTGGGACCGCAGCGGCAGAGTCGCCCCCCAGTTTCTCTGTCGTGACTGAGTCCTCTGCAATGCCCTCCAGCGACCGCGCTAGACGCAACCGACGCAAAATCAGCCGTCAGCAGCTGGCCATCACCAAGAACCTCTTCATGGTCTTCTGCGTCTTCTTCCTGTTGGTCTCTCCTTATTTCATCTCCTTGGCCATTCCAACTAGTCGTCCGTTTGCCCTCTATGGACTGACCATCAGTATGCTGAATAGCTGCGTGAACCCCATCATCTATACGGCCAACCATCCTCACTTCAAGGGAGTGCTTCGGAGCATTCTTTGTTGCCGCTACTCGCAGATTCCCGAACCATCCGACTGGCTGAAATCTGTCTTGTCTCGAAGGCAATAAAAAGAAAGATTTTCCTGACAGTTTTCTGAAGAGAAGAGGAGGTGAATATTTTCATTAAGACATCATTGCAGTTTTACTTTCTCTCATTTTAGGATGTGACCTATCATTCTTACCCTCCTTCCTATACAAAACGGCGAAAGTGACATTAAAGGACTTGATAGTGTTTGGACTTGGTTTTGCGATAAAAAAAGATTGCGTGTTTCATATAAACCTTTTACATCTGCAAAATCAACAAGCTCTCTCCGGGCACAGGGTAAGTCATGTACCGATTGAAACTTTTGCATAATTCTCCCTACAAGTTATCACTGATAAAATGATCCTCGTGCATTTTGTACATTCATGAATTTGCCTGAAGACAAGATCAGCAATAGCCTATTGTCAAGGGAAAAATTTAAACTATATGGAGCTTATCATCGCATGAATTTTGAAGAAAATATCATAACCAGTGCTAATTATGTTAACGACGGACACTTTTTGATGCTGGCGAGATGTTCAAATTCAACAGTGTAAAGAAGAGCTAAATAACTAATACACACGCACAAAAGGCCCAATTCAAAGCGGTTCCCGTGGTATGTGTTGGGGAAGGATAAAAAAGCTGTGGAGTAGAGTAGCAAATCAGATGTACATCTAAGCTAATGTTTGATCTTTAAAAAGGGTATTTCTGTTGCCCCCGTGAATAAAGGGTGCCGTTCAAACCTCGACAGTCCTACGAGGACGTGGACGCAAATGAATTTTTGTACCCTTTCAAAGGCAATTAAACGTTTTTAACACCGCTGAAAATAATAAGTTTTTTGAGGGCTGATTTAATTTTTGTCTATGATTTTTTAAAAATTATTTTTACTGTTAAGTTGATACCTAACTCTACTCTCGTATGCTCTGTGGCATTATAATGGATATAATTACACTCAGTCGGTTTGATGGTAGTTCGTAGGGGGATAGACTCAGCTTAAACAGTGTAACATATTGACTTTAGCATGATGTCCAAAGTTCCTGTCATTTTAAAATCATGACATGATATACAAGCACTGCACGCACGCCGGCTTTATGTAGAAACAGGGTCCATTCCCGTAAATTTGGCAGGCTGCCAATTATTTGCTTATAATAAATAGCCCAAATCTGGCTTTTTGTTACGTAGATTCCTTGTAGTAACTTAGACAATTTATGATAAATTACCGGTATTCAATACAGGGCGATAAATGTCATTTAAGGCCAAAAAAGTCTCCGGTTTCTGGTCAGGAGCTAGCTCCAAAAGTGATAAGGCGACGCGGCTTTTTTTAACCTCACTTTTTTTTTTCTGGAAATGATGAACGTACGCGCGATGTCCATCGCGACTACGTGCGCTGTAACGCCGGCCGCTACCACAACTAAAATAAACTGACCCCACAATCTTTACTGTGTAAAAACATTTTCAGCTTGTACACAGGACATAAGACCACCTCGTTTGTCTGGTTCCCAGATGTAAATGTATGAGACAGAGATGACGTCGTTGAAAAAGAGTGCCAGACTAACTGTATGGGGAACTAGAGGGACTCATTTACTGTACATATTACCCAACGGTGCCCCCATCAAAAACATGTTTAAATTACGCAGTAGCAAGATTCTAGTCGAAGAAGCAAATTTTGCATATTCGCGCGCGCGCCGACTAGAAACCAGAGACTTGAACAGTATTTGCGCTATACCGTGTATAAAATACTCTTTAAATATAGAACAGAAATAGTAAATGCAGGGTGTCCACATAAAAATACATGTATCGAGATTAAAATCACTGTAGTGGCAAAACTTCTTTATATGTGCGAAAGAGAAATATATCTGTAGAAAGGGGAAAAGTCCTCTTTGCAATGCCTGTGATGTTATTGAAACAGGTGAGAGAACAAACTAGACCGATGTTAGAGCACCTCTAAGGACAACATGTTTTGTCTGATTTTATCTTCAAATAAATATGGAAGCATTCAAATCAACGCGGTGACATTTATCTTCATAGCTCAACTAAAACGAGCTAAAAATGGCTTTTTTCTGTTCATGCCAAGATGCGAATTCTGAATGTAGATTGCGTCCTTCGGAGAAAACAGAGAAAACGAAGGGACCCTCGCCCCGTGTTCGTAGCGGATAAACCTTGTGCATTCCAAACTATGGCTACAAACAATGGCTACATGCATTGTTTGGCATACACGAGGTTTATCCACTCCGCCATGTAAATTTGAAAAGTATGTGGCGGCCGGCCGCTGGCAACATTATGACGCTTTAATGTCCAATGCCTATCTTTAATTTGTTCACTTACAGTCCTAAACCTTACATTTTAACAGCGTATAAATGGCTTTTAATTTTTTTCCCTCCACGTTTAAGTGCTATAATGAGTACAATTTGGAAGTTTGGAAGTCTGCACAATTCTTCAAAATCTGCGTTGTTTTTCTCATCACAGAAAAGTTTTTTTTTTTTGGGGGGGGGGGTGATTGAACAGCCCCGGTCAAAAAGTGAGGGATATATACAGCTGTTGTTGTCGATAAGACCATCACAAGACATCCGAGTTACAAGCTATTCAAATGAATTGCAACAAAAACACTGGGAACGACATTCCATTTCTATGGGCTGGGATATTATGAGATAAATATTAGATCATACTACAGTGGGGTACAAACAAAGGAGACGTTCTTTGCTAATTTTTTTTTTACAGTTTTTTTCATGAAACCATAGATGAAGTAAATTATCAAAACGAAACACTGAGTCCTTTTTCCTGTGTCTAGTTTTCCTTAATCCACCTTTTCGGTAGATGGACAAGCCCAGGATTATGCCTAGGTGCGCTTCTTTATTACATAAATAGAGAAATGTTTTGGGGGCTTGTTTCCTGTAACCCAAGTACAAGCATTCACGAGGATGCCATTATCGATCTTGTTCGCTGACTATTTTCTACGAGTTGTAATTTTTGGAATAAGACGGTACCAGACTTTTAAAATTTGCTTCCATCTCAAGACTCCCTTTTGTGGCGGATTGCACCTTGAGCTGCGAAGATCATCGGAGCGATCTAAGGCCCAAGAAGTATGGATTCGTTTTGGGAGAAATTTGCCACCGATTTGGAGTTGATGGCTAATCTATTGAATTCATGCAGGGGGTTTGGACACAATAAGGGACAACTGGACGGTTTATTTCTGGGAAACAACAATAATTAATCAATCTTACAAAGGTTCTGAGATGTGAGTTATTTTTTATTAAATAAAATGGTTTACTTATAATAAACTCGCATCAAATCTAATCCAAAGTGTCAACCACAAATGTAAACCATAGAAGTAACCCACAAGTGTAACCCAAAATTGTAACCCACGAGAAGACCTAGTTTTGGACGTGCTGGAAAATGGGCTGGAGTGATGCGAATCCGAGCTCTAATTTCAAAGCTTGTCCCCACCCATGTACCCGTTCTGGGGTACACAGTCTACAGACGCGGATGCTCGACCATGTATCCTGTTGCTCTGATCTGAGACTATACGGCTTTAATTTATCGATTATATAATAAACGCTACACAGTTGAACACGAAATAATATGGCACTGCCTTTGCTCGCACACAGCAAGCTTATGAAGATTACTCTAACGCAAGTTACAGAGAATAACTGATACAAAGAAAAGCACGTTTGTTCCGGACCATTATGTCCGCCTGGCCCATTGTGTCCGCAAACTTTTTGCATTGTGCACGTTTAGAGGGATCATTATAAAAAACCCTTGAAATCGCACCTTAGGTTTTCAATGGAACTGATGGAAATGTTTTGGCAATTTTAACCCATATTTTCGATATTTTTTTGTAAGTTTTAATGCAATTTGCACATTCATAAGGAAACCTGTGATTGAACTGAAGGCAATTTCAATTTTGCCAATGCTCGGTCAATTTTAAATGTTTTTATTGTGCATCTCATGCAACTCAAAAAGGATGTCAAACAGTCTTCATAGATCAAGGAAGAGTGCAGAGATACACAAAAAGTGCTTTCAAGTAAACCTTATTTCATGGATCCTTTAATTGAAACGGAGACCCTTAGCTCACTGATAACGCTGAGGTGAACCAATTCATGTTCAAACATTTTAAGAGTGATATGTTAACCGACACGTTTTATTGAGACTAAGAACAGTAATAAATCAAAGCTAATAGCATACACAAATTGAAAACTTATTCCATCATCACTGTGGAAGAATAACTTAAATCATTAAGTGAATTAGAAAAAAAGCCATATACAAAAGCGAGCCGGCCCTTGCGTCACCAAGCTCTGGATACAGAGTTTTAACCCCCCCCCCGGGAAACACCAGCCTAATGGGCCCACGGGCGAGTTACCCAGCCACTATCGTGACCTTGCTTTAGACCAGTGATGGCTTCCTTACGGTAAGGATTGTACCCTGAATAATAAGCACATTACGTACAAATTTTCTTAGAAATTCAGTTTTGCACAAACACTGGCATCTATACCAGCGACATCAGCCTAATAATCTCTCCATGGTGGTCACAGAAAAGTATTCAAGATCAGCAAACAGACCGCTCATCCTTGACACTGTAAAATCAAACAACAAACAACGAGTGGAGTGGCCCTGTTGATGCCGATAACAAATTCCATCCACTCCTTGCTATAAAAAATCTAATTCACGGCATCAATATTTTTCGAATAATCCTGAAAACCCCCGTTAGCATAAGGACAAAATCGACCGATTATTCCTTAAAACTTTCTTGCACAGACCGGTTTCCCTTATTTTCTCAGTCATGGAAACACTTTACGTAACCTTAGGAAACAGACCTCACACGTGGCGGCCGAACTCAACTTCATCAAACTTAAAACGTAGGCACGTATGTTTCAGAGGGAAATTATTAATTGCGCATGTCCCGTTTTTTAGGTCATTTGCCTGCGTAATGAGGGCCATGGGAATTTGTGCCAGGCAAACAGCTGCTTCATTTCATGAAATTTAGGCCTACGTCGTATTTTAATTTTTGAAAATAGAATTCCTGCCCAAAATATTTCAAAGTAAGAGAAGGCCCTTTCCTATTACGTGTTTGGTGAAAATTAAATTGAGAATTGATTTTTGTGACAGCGGTAGTTTGTTTACGTTTCGATGCGATTTCTGAAGACTCGAAACAAAGAATTCAAAGTTTTCCTGAAGTTTTCAAAAGTGGGCTGTGGTGGAGAAAGGTCTAAAGGGTTTAGATTTGCTGACGGTTTGACGTTAGCCGTTTTGTTTCTTTTCCTGACCAGACGCGTTTGCATATTGACCTAACTCGTTAATAATTCCGTTCATTCTGCATTAAATCTCACGGTCTTGCGAGCGTAAGAATTCAGTTACTTGGGAACGGAATACAAATTCAAAAAGTACAGTAAGTTAACATGAAGTTCACTTTTGTAACCGCGAGGTATATCTGTCATTATAAAACACAAGGAAAATGTTGAAATTCACGGTACATATCCCGAGTTTTACATGTACCTTGTACTGTGCGAGCATGAACCACACGACTATGTACATTATGTACCCTTGCTCCAACGGTCGAAAATTTCCTTGCACCTGTATGTGCACGTCTACGCCGCAGTCACAACTCGCAGTATACTAGATCGGTTTTGAGCATATAAAACACGAACAAATCGCCCTGCCCAGAAGTATCAAATATAACTCATGGAAGTCGAACCAAAATATATATTGCTGCATGTACATAAAACTGATTGTACCGCGTAGCTGAGATTCTGGCCTGTCGTATGCAGTGTCTCACTGTTTTGGGAGAACATCTAAAATTGAGAAATTTTGTGGAAAAAGACGAAGTGATCGATTGAAAATGGAAATAATTTATCATCTTAGCAACAACTTTGAGGCTAAATTTCAAACTTATGTCGCATTTCTTTTCCCAATTCTGTAGTACTCTATTGATTTAAGCCTTCTAAGGCACATACAAAGAGTTCAAATCCGTTTGTTAACTTTGTGCAAAGAAGTCTTCAAAACGAGGAGGCTCTACAGAGGATTGGCAAGTTGCTAAGGACATTTCCGTATGGTTCACGAGGATCCGGTCAAGTAAACGTCTCCCACGGTCGAAGTAGTTAATTTCCACACGTTGAATGGGGGTGAAACATACGTGTAGGGCGACTTGTTACGCCCCTTCACTATACACCCACGCATACACAATTTTCCTGCAACTGGGGACCCCTATTGTTCCTCTTTTGTTTTACTTCAACTCTTTTAAAAAACCACCCATTTGTTTTTGCACAATTTTTATTCAGGGACCCTATGTGAATCGGGGACCTTATTGTCCTCTATTGTTCAGGGTCCCCAATTGAATGCAAAAACAAACTCATACTTACTCATAAAAGTAAAGCTTTTTCGCATGAATTGCATTTACTATCTACATGTATGTACATTTCCATGAAACCCATTACAAGGAATTATGCACAAAGTAATCCGCACAGAATCATTTTGACCCAGAAAAAATAAACTTTTGTTTCATTGTTTCATTTTTCATTAGGAACATGACCCAACAAAGAGCCGTTGTGGAAGAATAACAGCATACATTTAAATACCTGCAAGGAATCAAAAAAAAGGAAAGCTTTTGAAAAAAAGAAAAATACCTGAGACTTTATTAATTAACAATCGCATCCTGCAGACACAATGGGGCGGACATAATGGGCCTGCGGACACAATGGGGCGGACATAATTGGCCTGCAGACACAATGGGGCGGACATAATGGGCCTGCGGACGCAATGGGGTGGACATAATGGGCCTGAAAAAGTCTGTGGACATAATGGGCCATGCGGACATAATGGTCCGGAACACACGTTGAGGGATACAAGTTCACACTTGGCTGATAACGGTACCTGTCTCTCTGTCAGCAGGTCTTTTCGTTCTCGTCAAAAATGGAGAGACAACTCTCACGGACGATTGCAGCATCAGAAATGACGTTATATACCCACTACATGCTCTGGGCTCAATCCAAGCTCCTGACCCAAATCGATTTTAGGTCGTTAAAACCAGTGATGTCGTGCATTAGGCCACCTACGTTCACTGTATAAACTTGTAACGAACACTAGACTTGTATATCAGTCTGTGCCGTTCGCGACACTTTCAAAATTGTTTAAAATCTCGTATTAAACCCCAAGGTACAGAAAGGATCGAAACTATTCATCTGTATAAAACAGGTATTAATTTTTCATGTTGTAATACTTTCAGAATCTCGAAATTCTGAAGTTCCTAAACAAAAGTTTAACCTTTCGGCTTAATGTTTATGATACGTTGAATTAAATTAGTCTGCCAAGTTCCAAAACCTTCCGTTGACGCTTGGTCACAACATAATACTTCCGCATTGTTGTGCGATTATAAGTAATCGCTACCATCCGCTGTTCATTGATCCCTTAAAGGATCGTTGCACTACAATTTGTTTAATGAATACCTTCAAAATGCACCTTTGTGTCTTGATTAACCCATCTTTCAATTTTTGTATACTATTTTAAAAGTTATTATGCTGCCCTTCCGTTTGTATACTAAATTATTTGCATATTCATCAGAAAAACCATGATGTCATATTAATGTTACATAGGTTTAAACATTGTCCGTACTTTGTCCTTGATAATACATCATGTCGAAACTGGCACTTTTATAAATAGTGTTTTATGTTTAAAGAGCACAAAGGTACAACAGAAAAGGTAGGCTTTGTCCAAGTAAAATTCATCGCTGCTACTTCTTTAAATATCAGAAGATCAGATTTCATAACACGGAGGGGCATACCTGCAGCGTTCCAGCAAATGAAAAATAGACTGTAAGGACTGTAAAACATTGTATCCCGGCAAACATCCTGAACAAATTTTAATCATGGGAAGTATGTAAATACTACGTGGTCTGGTATAGAAATCATTAACACCGAGGAACCGCCTCTGGTAATGAATATAAGCCTAACCTATTGTTCTGTATGGTAATTCTAGTCAAGTGGCAGAGCTCACACAGTCCTGCAGATCAAAGCACGTAGAGGGGCACGTAGTTCTCTCCATGAAGGAGGTAGAGATTTTCTCTCTAAAATTTTCAGTAACAGCTATGGCAAGTATGCATGAGACGTCGACTTCGCTCTTGGAAAGTAATACTACCGCCGAACCATCGACTTCAAGCCCGCCTCTGTACTCCCACCAAGCCCGTATTGGCTTCGGCTGTTGCTGGATCATTGTTGCCATCCTCGGACTGGTGGGGAACAGCCTCGTGATCTTGTCGGTCATCCTGTCCAAGAAGCTCCGTACCGTGACCAACGCCTTCGTGGTCAACCTCAGCGTGGCCGATTTCTGGACAAGTTTGTCTTACCCGTGGCAAGCTGTGGCCATTCTCAGCCCCGGTGAATGGCCGCTAGCCACCGAGGTTCCGTGCTACATCGCCGCTGTGCAGTTTTACACCGGTCTTGGGGCAAGCCTTTACTCACTGGCGGCCATAGCGTTTAATCGCTTCATGCTAGTCACCAAGACCACTGAAACGTACAGCCGTCAGTACTCCCCGGGGAAAGTCTCCGTCATTATTGCCACAACCTGGGTCATTCCAACAGTTGTCTTCTTTTTGCCGCCAATTCTCGGTATTGGTGCATTTGGCTACGACCCTCAAGACAATACATGCTCCGATAAGGATGGACATCCCCGTGGCTCAGAATACAACCTGGCTCAATCTCTTGGTCTGTACCCAATCCCCATGCTTATCATCGTCAGTTCCTACTTAGCACTGTACATCCATCTCAAACGTCACTTCAGAAAGCAAAAGAGGAGACATATGCTGCAGGAAAGCCCACCTTTGCAAAGCGATGATTCGGTAGTTGCAGAGTCGACTGTCAGTGCTATCGTTGTGACCGCGTCGCACAAAAACGAAATGGTCAGAAACCAACGCCAAGCAATCAACCGTCAGCAGCTTGCAGTCACCAAGAACCTCTTCATGGTTTTCTGCATCTTCTTCCTGTTGATGTCCCCTTATTTCATCTCACTGGCCGTACCGTCCAGTGGCGGGTTCGCTCTATATGGAGCAACCTTCAGCATCCTGAATAGTTGCGTGAACCCCATAATCTACACGGCCAACCATCCTCACTTCAAGGGGGTGCTTCGGATCATTCTTCGTTGCCGCTTCTCGCGGATACCCGAGCCCTCCGACTGGCTGAAATCTGTCTTGTCTCGAAGGCAATAAGGACAGGGATTTCCCAGATAGTAGGAAGTGAATATTTTCATGATGAAATAGACTGTTTGGAGTGTTTCTTGTTTCTTTCATTTTAAAAATTAACTCATAACTTCCAATTCACGCTCAATTTAAATCCAAACTGACTGAAAACCAAGATATACTTAAAACATAAATGTACTTGCAAAGTAAAATTGCATTGTAGAGGACCGATAATGCCATGGGTTGCAATGCCTACACCTCACCCACCTGTTGGTAGAAGTTGACACCGTGTAGCACTCTTTTGCCTACCAAAATAGTAAGTTGGGCTTCAAACCTTAAAAAAAAGAAAATTAAAAACAATAGTGCAGTTATGTTTCCTTAGCAATACGTGTCTTCGCACCTTTCCTAATCAAAACGTCGACGTTAAAGTCAGTTTGAACTTGAGAAGGAATAGGCCTACCTTTTCCCTTACTTACATGTCACGGATACCAGAAATTCAAACTTTACGAACATTCAGGGTTCGCATGTTGTTAACACAGGACTTACAGTGACACATCCTGGTTTTGATTCGGGAGAGGAGGTGAATGAGAGTTGTATTGTACAAGTATCTAATTCATCCCCCCCAAAAGTTGACAATAATACCGTCTGGTGTGCTTTCAAAATGGCAGCATGTCCTGGGGTACCCCTTGCCCTTTTGCTACTGAAGACTAAACCCAGTCATTCTTGACTCGCAAGTCTGACAGCACATTCCTGTCAGTTCCGTGTAGACCGGCTCCCGGTCAGTCCAGTGTCCTTCGTGACTTTGAATGCCTTGGCAAGTCGCTGCTGGTGATGAATCGGGGAGGGATTTGCCTGCTGCGGAACATTCAAGTGAAGACCATTTATCAAGTTTATCACTTGTCTTTTTCCCCGGTAACCTGTGCACAGATTTTAAAAGGGTAAAGGTAAACTCGGCCATTGTTGATAAACATTGTCGTCGCTCGACCTTGTTCCACGTTACGCAAGTTTGCAATTTCTGAGCAGGCAAAGATCCAGAGGTGGGGGAGAGGTTGAGGGTCAGCCTCGTCCCCGGTCTGACACCCTCTCCCCGGAAAAAGAGATAGAGAGAAAAAAAGGAAATAACAGATATAGTAATGATAAAAAGATAACATCCTTCGGTGTGTATAAAGATAAGAACACCAGTAACAGTGTAATACCTAACTTGTGTGCCCACCTGTCCACAACGATCAGTCATTAAAAAAACTTACATGTTTGACTGCCTCTGCCGGGCAATCAATTATTGTACCAACTTGATATTTCGTATGTTTCTCTTTAAGAGCGATCAATAACAAAAACGTTGGTCATGCATTTGGTAGGCCCACACTAACAACAGAACTATTTCTGATTTCAATTTAGTTGCTGAAGACATGATCAATAATAGCCATGAGAAAATATTTACAATACGGTGATTCTGGTGTAACGTATAACTGTCATCTTGTAAATTTCGTAGAGACCGTATTTACCCGTGATAATTATGATGAAGTATGAATTTGAAGTGTAGCATGATGGTCAACGTTCAGTTGTTGTAAATCATTGACACGATGCACCTTTATGACTCGTACCTTGACCTTGTAGAAAAAATATTTCAAGTTCACTTCGTGACTTATGCATTATTGATTGATCTTCGGGGTGTTGTTTGCCTAAGATATATTGCCTTTCGTAGCATAGACTAATTGCACCCATTTCTCGTGATAAAATATCGTAGATTTTAAGTCGTTCAAACAAAATACATTCATTCACAACTTGTCACTATACATTTTATCGCCTGTGAACATCATAACAACTTTCGGTATTCAGATATCCGAAATTTACACACCTATTTCTTATAACGAGTATACTGAAAATATATTATTAAAATATGTACATTGCATCCGGAACGTACTTACAAATATTCATTAAATGCCTCATTGAAGAGATGAGTCTTCTTAAACTGCAGAAGAGAAGGGGAAGATCGTAACCATGCCGGCATATTGTTCCAAAGACAAGGTACAGCACATGAAAAAGAGCGATCCCCCCATGAATAAAATGACCTGGGTTCTCTAAGAAAATTCATATTACTGGATCGAAGTCTATGTATGGGATTGTATGGTTGTAATAAGTCATCAATATATGCTAGAGCAAGACTGTGGAGTGACTTATAGACAAATAAGAGCATCTTGTATATGATTCTGATCTTAACAGGCAACCAGTGCAGTTCTTGTAGAATACTTTATGCGTCTGTAGCTGTGACGTGTCTCCTTCCCAAAATGTTTTGAAGGGTGTATACTGGCACCTCCAAACGTCCCTTAAGGGCGTTTGTGTATCAGCGAACGGAGCCGGGCTCGCACATTTCGTGAAGGGGTAGGTTAGATATTTGGTCAGTTTTCAAAGAGAAGTTGTAACTGTAGTTAGTACCGCCTCGATCGACCTGAACTCCTCGGAGGGGAGTTATAAAACAAATATTGACTCTTTCATCTTGTAATATAGCAAAACTAGCCTCCTGAGGTGATGCATGGAGCATTGGTATCTTCCCTCGGTAAAGGATAGAATGCTCCATGGATCACTCCCAGAGGCCAGTTTCACTACACCACGAAATAAAGCGGTCAATATTTCTAACGTCATCCGATAAGTTCTGTCTGATCAAAGTGCAGTCTTTTCTACTTCAGCTCACTCAAGTGCACGTGCATCTCTTCAGGAAATAATGATAGTCAAGTATTACATCCTGGCTATCTTGCTTATTATATCCTAGTTTTCATGCTGAACGAGTCCTATTCAGGCTGTGAGAAGCATGTAGATAAAACGTTGTTGCGCTCTTTTACGAAAATAGGCAATTGTGCCCCATTCTCTGCACGGTACAGTTAAGTAGTCGAGTGTCAGAGTGCAGTCACTAGCTGAGATCACAACACGCAGAGGTGCACAAAGACCCCTCCATTAAACATTTTTAAAAACAAATTTCATACATATATATGACGAGCATAAACGCAATATTATCAAGGATCATGGATATGAATGCCACCGAAGACCAGGCGACCACAAAACCACCTCTATACTCCTACCAGGTCCGTGTTGGCTTAATTCGGCTGTTGCTGGATCATTGTCGCCATCCTCAGGCTAGTGGGGAACAGTCTCGTGATCTTGTCGGTCATCTTGTCCAAGAAGCTCCGTACCGTGACCAACGCCTTCGTGGTCAACCTCAGTGTTGCCGATTTCTGGACAAGTCTGTCTTACCCGTGGCAGGCCGTGGCCACACTCACTCACAGTGCATGGCCGCTAGCCACCGAGGTTCCGTGCTACACTGCTGCTGTGCAGTTTTACACCGGTCTTAGGGCAAGCCTTTACTCACTGGCGGCCATAACGTTTAATTGCTTCATGCTTATCACCCAGACCACTGCAAAGTACAGCCGTTGGTACTCCCCGGGGAAAGTCTCCGTCATGATCGCCTTGACCTGGGTAATTCCAACAGTGGTTTCTTTTTTGCCGCCAATTGTCGGTATTGGTGCATTTGGCTACGATCCTCAAGACCATACATGCTCCGACAAGGATGGACACCCCGCGGCTCAGAATACAACCTGGCTCAATCTCTTGGCCTGTACCCAATCCCCATGCTTGTCATCCTCAGTTCCTACTTGGCACTGTACATCCATCTCAAACGTCACTTCGTAAAAATATGTAAAAAGCCCCAATTATATGTATTTAGCGCTGCCCCCCATATAAAGTTGGTTCATGATCAGCCCTTCCCGAGAATGAACTTTAATTATTTATTTAAACCAAACTTTCCTTGGCTTCCAACAACGTATAAGGCAACCTCGCATAAATACAATTTAATTTAGTTTGGCGACAGTTCACCTTGTACATAACACTTCACCCCCATCCGCCCTCTCAGTTTATTTTCAATTCATCTGTTGAGTGGTGTGTAAAAACTACATTTTCTTGATGGAGGTTTTGCTCCGGTAAAGCAAAGTCGAAACATAAACAAAAAAGAATTGTAAATGGAAATCGAAACATCGATCCGAGAGCTATCGGGTTTCAAGGAAGTACCAAACACAGAAACTAATATTAAATGTTCCCTTCCTTCCAAGCTGACGTTATCAACCAAATTTAACGATAAGATGGAAGTTAGTGTAATAGTATACGCTACAGCTTACTTCATAAAAGGTGGAAAATATGACACCTGGCCCCTCCATGGAAAACTACGATAAGATTTGCCCATGGAATTTTCCCGAATGCCAAGATTAGAGTCCTGTTCGCATTTTTCATGTACTGCCGGGATTCTGAGGTTGTCTCATATTTTTTTGCCGCGGTGATCGAAAGCAGGAACTAGTCAAGTTCTCACTTGATAGATTCCCATCATGCGGATCTTGGAAGTGTGCATATTAATATCTTTACACGCCCGTACACGCTGGACCCTCGCCTTGTCTTTATTGGGTAAAAAAATAACAACTGATTCCGACGATTTTTTTAATCGCAAGAGTGCCGGAGGCAGAATCGATTCCACCCTCGACAGTTTCTCCGATATCAGTGCATTTTTCCACCACGAGATGTGAGTAGATTTCGAGTGATGTCATGTAGCCTTTGTGACACCAATTTTGTAATAATCGGACACATTGTTCTCGCCAAATGCCTTTTCTACCCGAGACAGGTCACACAAAATGTTCACTTCTTCCACATGCGTGCAAGCGTGCTTAATACAAGTGGACCCGCATGCCCGCGGCCTTAACACACGATCTTAACATGAAAGTCCAATATCTGATGGAACTGGAACTTCATAGATGTGCTTATAATGAGAGTCTTTACAAGCATATTCCGTTTTCAGAAGATCAGGTGTGGGACAGCCGAGTTTATATGTTCGGTATCGCCCCCCCCCGCGAGATGGTCTGAAAAACTAGGACTCTTTTGAGGTTAATGAAATCGGGTGTTTGTCTGTTGAGAATTGCCAGTTGATCCCCATCCCTCGGGCTGTCAAATCTAGAACACAAGGCTCGTCACTTTTGAAGTGACAATTAAAATCCCCACCATCTGAGAAATACTTGACAAAGTTAAAAATAGGATCATGAAAGGCATGACCACCCCCACCCAACCCCCAAACCCACTCCACAAAAGACGCCAGGCAGCCCGAGGAACGGGACAACGAAAACAGCTGATAGATTAACAAGCTTGACATTTCTGTTTTCCTCTTGTTTTTCCTTCACATAATCACTTCTATCTCCTCTAATGGACGTGGCATATGAATTGCATTGTGTTTATGGTTGGATGTAAATAAATTACTGGAGATGCATTATAACTGGGCCGACTTGGTTCGCTTGACACTTTCACATTGAGACGCAGTATGCTGCACGAGCATGGAAGGTGTGTTTCTTAGCATTTATCTATTTAAGAGCACATTTCAGTTTAGGAAAAAACTCTTCAACGGTTAACAATTAAAGGCATCGTTAATCATCAACATTGATATTGACGTAGCACAAACATCAAGTGAGCCTCGTTTCCTGGTTTAAAGTATTACAAAGGGCATCATTTAAGCCCATTTTATATTATGATATGTAGACATTTTATCAACACTTTAGGATGGTCTAATAGAAATATCATACGAAATTTTAAACTGTGTATCGCATGTACCACAAAAATTGCCTTCATCTGTTTGGGTATCAGTGCACTTGTATCTCATGCAGATGAAAAGTAAGGGTATTTTTTTACCACAAACATTCACTTGCTAATTAGATCCAGTCTCAATAAATGCCACCCACAGAACATGTAGATAAAGTAAAACTTCAATTGTCGAAGGTGGTATTAAAACGTGTCACTGTGGAATATAGCACTTTTCATTTTAATGTATATTGGCATACAGAGGTTATGCGTTGCTGAAAGTCTCCACGGTATCTCAGAGGCCGTTTGTGTTATTTTAAATTTTTCCAACGAATGCGCTACAGGTTTATTCAGCCAATAGAGGGATCCCAATACCACGCTCTTCGCGTCGATCTGCGCACTTCCGTGTTTGAAAACGAGGCTGTATGTGTCAGCTTCAATTCTTAATACGGTCAGACGACTGAAAGACACAAAATACATCAAGGTATGTTAAATTCAGACTTTTCAGGCTAAAAATGTTTGTGGAAGAGTCTTTCACGATGATTCGACGAGTACAATCAAAAGAAAAAATAACGACAAATGACCGCGTACTAACGTACCTGCAATGGTCGTGTATCTTGTGCAGTGCCCGTGGTTTAAACTGAAGTGGCGTCACACTTACGAACCGGATACCCGACGTAGTGTGTGGACTCCGCGGGCGCGCGCGACGAAGTTCAACACAGAGAGCGTCGGTTATCGATGCAGATATGCGCAGACGGCGCGAATGTGAAATCCCTCTATCCTTCTGAGAACGTGTTAACGCATGGCACAATCGTGCTGGACCACGATGTGTTGTGATGGTAATGAGTGGACAGGGTTGTGATGGTAATCTACTTATTCAAGATAAACTAGTCAAGCATGCATAG